TTCCTGACCGGCCCTGACAAATCAGCCACTGTAAACATGCTTTTGATTTTGAAACAAAGCTTCCTGCTCTGATCTACTGGCTACAAAGGAAACAGCCAATCAGAAGTATGGAATCTTATCTTAAGTCTCTCTGGACATTCAGTAGAAGTTACATAATACTCTTAAGTACAGCATGGAAGAATTCTTCCTGCATGTGTACAGTAACAACAAATATTTCTGCTTGAATGATTACATAGTCCACTTGCATGTGGTAATTGTTATGACACTTTTAAGTATCTTATAATAATTATTATTCTTATGAGAATATTAAAATTAGTTTTAAAAAAAAGGTAATACCCCAGGAAAACCCTTTCAATCCTGTGGGAATCTTTTGTGAATCACTTTTATTGATTCTTACTTTTTCCCGTTACATTTAATATAGGCCTATATTTATAAGATTACTCAATTTCTTATTTTACAGGTATAATATTATATTCTTCCATTTTATTTTTAATTAAAAATATTAAGAGGATTTCTTATTTTATTATAATTATATCCTATTTGATTTCTTATTGGAAACCTTAGAGAATCCAATAAGAAATAATTTTCCATATTGTACATATAATTTTGTATAAGAAATTTTATTAAATCTGAATACGATTTATGTTCGTTTTATTCTTATAAAATAGGCCTACCATTTAAATTTTTATCGAAAACCTAATTGAAACTACTGTAACAGGAATTCAGTTATTGCCATTGAATCAAATAAGATTTCCTATCATTTATTCTCATTAAAGGTTATTTGATTTCTTATTGTAAACCTTATTAAATCCAAATAGAATTTATATAACTTATTTCTATTTAATGTAGTATAGGCCTACAGTATATGAAATATAAAAAGTGTGGAAGACAGTTTTCCCCGTGCCTCCTTGTAACGCCGCCACTGCACACACTCTATGATGATGATGCACATAATCATAGCTGATGATGATGATGATAGCATAATTATTTTACGAAAACCCTAACCACACTCCAACCATCCTTACATTTACCTGCATCAATAAACAGACGAATATCAAGCATATCAGATTCAGCACTTTAGTCCGGTTGTTTCACTGTGCGTCGATACTGGTGTTGTGTCGGCATGTATACCATACAGAGTGTGATATAAATTGCCACAATCAGATTTAAACTTTCAACGACAGCTTCAGCTGGCACTAGAGATTTTTTAAAGAATTACATTAAGATAATAGTTAATTGTTTCTACACGTTTAAATGTTTAAAAACGTCAGTAGGCCTACTAAGTAATTTCTGTTGAAACATTAAAAAAATACAATGGAGAAGAATCAATATTCCTCAAAAATTTATTTATGATATAAAGAAAATCTACTGAGTTAAATCACATCACATACATCAAGTAATACACACTATTAATACTATTGTCTCAATTCTCTGAGAATGAGACAGAACATTATTTCTAATAAAACCCAGCACTAAAACAAGATAAATTTTTAGAACAAACATGATCAATTTTCTAACTATTAGCAAACATTATTACAATAATTTTACAATTTCTACATAATCAAAATTCGACATCAAACGTATAAAAATAAACATCTTGAATTATTAAAATGCAATGATATGTAAGTTTGAAAAATATAAATTCAAAATACAATTACAACATGCGGATTAACTAATTTAAAACGACAATAAATGTTACGTATTACAGTAATTAGTTTCCTCTACCCAATACATCAATCAATCAATATCAATTATAACCTAACTACATTTCTTTCTATACAACCAAAATGTACTCTTACAGTATCAATTCCAAACCATCAAAAAAATATATAACTAATGAATTAGATAACAAGATAATTACACAATATTTACATAATTTAAAATTGATATCAAATGTATAAAAATATAATCATATTGATTTGCTTAAAACACAGTTACATATTAAGTTTAAAAAAAAAATAATATACTCTTCAACTCTTCGAAATAAAACATGGAGATTATTGATTTAATTCAGCTATACATATAAAACATGTTATAAATTATTTCCCTTACCCATCGCATCAAACAATGTCATTTATAATACAGTATCCATTGTCTATATCTCTATCAACACACAAGGGAATTCATTTTTACAATTTTATCGCAACTGACAAGTTATCTAATTTGGCATTAGATACATTAATTAATCTTTATTTCTATTGGCAAGCGTTACCACATGCACATGTAACTGCATTTTCAATTAGTATAGTTTTCTCCCTTCCATCGAAGCATCTGAGGGTCTGTTCGACTTTCGCAACTTCCTCGACATTGCACGTCTCACGGATCATCGTTATCTGCAGCAAACTGTCAAAGATATTGGCAACCGTGCCCGTGCCAGACGCACATCTACCGCTACACTGGGATGACATCACCTCCGCAGTACAAGTTAATCCATCCAAGTCAAATTTAACTGTGGAAACTTTGGTAACAATACCACATGTTCCTGATGCAGCTATAAAAAGAAGGGGAAAAAATTAATATTTCATTAACTTAGTCAATCTTGAATGGTGTCCAGGGGTTTGCGCATCAGCAATAAACCATCATAACAAAATACTGTGCACCCTCCCATTCAATAGCCAATTATAAATCCAAGACCCTCTGATATGAGATCACTTTTTCAAAGAACCAAATAACAATATTCAATCTTTTAACCTGATTTTAACCTCTTATTAGAGACAGAGACCCAAGATCACCACATCTCAAAGGTGGTCTTGAATTAGAGGTTTTGCATGCCAGGGAGGCTTACCAGAGACAGTATCTAGTATCTGAAGGTTAGATCAGTACCATATTTGATGGTGATAAAGTTTAGTATAGCGCTTTACCTAGTACCTGAAGGTTGGATCAATATCATTTAATTGTGAAAGAGTTCGGATATATAGCACCTTTATTAACCACTCGAATGCTTATGCGTATTCAATGAAATACTAAGAACTAAAATGTATATTAGTTAACTTACAACATGCAATGCAACTGCCATCCTCTTTCACATTGCCAGACGCCTGCATTCCATCGGGGCACATGCATTCAGAGACCAGTTGACTATTGAAACAAGATCCGTTATCTTCTACACATGACTGCTTTGGGCACACACACTGCTTGTAAACCAAATCCACAGGACCACCATAGGAAAACACAGACCCACAAGATACAGCTGGATATACAAACACATCAACGTTATGAACTTGCAATGTTGTTATTTTGTTATTGCTTACAGTTACAAGGATTGTTTCAAATCTTGTCAGTAGAATGACGACGTAAAATGTGTGCGGACCAAATTTGCAAAATACTTTTGACGTCTATTCGTTTAGCGAGAGGCTGAGTTCAAAACATTTTAATACAAGAGACTATACTTACGACATATACTTTCACTTCTCCATGCCAAGCATATTCCATGTAGAATCTGGCACGTATTGGCATAGCTCTCCAGTAAATCGCACGAGTTACTGCAAGCGGCTTTGCACTCTTGCACAAACTCTTCTGGATCAACAAAGCCATGACAAGGCTTAAACACATCAGTCATCACATGCTCACACTGAGATATGATACTTGTTGGACAAACAAACTCAGTGGTGGTGGCAGTAGTAGTAGTAGTAATTGGTGTCAGTGTTGGTGTGATGGTGGCTGTAAAAAGAAGCAAATATATTTATTATCATTAACCCAGTGTCAACATATTTATTCAATAATCATTAGATGCATTGCAGTGTCTAACTGTAGCATAATTGCAAATTCATTTCAAAATTTATTTGAATTGAAGATTAGGCCTACGGCCAACGGACTTCTCCATCCACTCAGAATTACAAGTGGGTATCTGGTAGGTTCTACTAACTGCAATGTTATGCTATTCTTCCTAGTAAGTTGAGTATGCATTCCTAGTGAGTTGAGTATGCATTCCTAGTGAGTTGAGTATGTGTTCCTAGTGAGTTGAGTATGCGTTCCTAGTGAGTTTTGATCCAATGACAAGGCAATAATTTGAAGCGTTAAATGCCTAGTGGGCATAAATGGCATATAAGACTAACATATTACTATTTTGAATATTTTATGAAGGCTAATTGCTGCAACGAACCTCTTAGGAGTAACTGTTAACAATTAATTGATTAGCATCTTATACATTTACGGGTTTTCATTTACAAAGGTTTCAGAATCCTGTCTCCGCAAGGTTAGAACAGATGCTTTAGGAGTTGTGTCACTTGAAAATATAGATTAAATGCCAAGAGAATGCCAAGTTTAAATGGTGACAAAAATAATAAACTAGTTGCATGAACATACCACATGGCTGGCATTCTCCTGAGACCAGTTCAAATCCTTGAGGACATGTACATTCTGACACCATCATTGCAGCATGACAGGAAACTTGGCCTCCACAGTGCTCTTGATCGTGGCAAATACATTCTCTATATTCCTGACCAGACGGACAATCAACGGCTAGGGGGAAATGAATATGAATGTAATTTGAGAAGAGCTGCCCATTTGCATATAAGCCTACTACAAAATGAAACACGATTTTGTTGAAATGTTACGTTTTTAATTTAATATAGTGTAGCTTTGATGGAGGTATCACAGCATTTTGTTTGTGCGGTTGCGCCTTTTAAATTTATCTTCTCTACATGTTTTTACATTTTTTATGTTTTGTCATAATGGAGTTCTGTCTGAAATTCAGTAAAAGGTTGATTGAATATTTTGTGTCTGGTGGTCTGGGGAGGAAAAAAATTAAATAACTAACACATGAACCTTGTATTGCATAGGTTTAATTAGTATTCAAATAAGGGATTGGGCATAAGGGACAATATAATATACTTCCAATATTACTTACCACATAATCCATCAGAAGTCAATTTAATACAGTGACCAAGGTTTTGACATATTTGAGCGTAAGTGCTTAGAACACTGCACTCAGAGCAGGATGCATGAGCAGCTTGGCAACTAGCGTAAAAGAAGTCTGGATTCATGATAGCATGGCATGGCTTAAATCGGTCAGAGTACAACTCACTACATAGATTTGGGCACTCTGACGTTGGTGATGTCTCCACTATTGGCACACTATGTGTGGGTGCTGGAGTAGTCAATTCTAAATATATAGAAACAGAACAGAGTAAAGTTTTGAATGAATAAAAAGTGTCTCAAGCTATTTATGATTATTTTCATACTATTTAGACCTATATTTCTGACAGGTTGATTTACTTTAACGTTACTGTTCATTCGTGATTAATACATATTACGAGTGAGATAAATAAAAAATATCTGCAGACACATCTATATTTAAAGGGCAAAAATAAAAAAACAATTTTGATTTCAGATTTCAGTGAACATGTATTTGTCTAGCAACTGACTGCTCAAAGTGAGATAGGTTACAATAGGATTGTTTAGAAAATTGGTTTAGTTGCTGTCAAATGATGAATGCATGACTTACCGCAATTGCCATATCTCCATGGAATATTTAGTCCAAATTGAGTGCATCTACTAGCATAAGCTTCTAGAATTAAGCAGTCGGAACACATGGAATGTTCGGCTCGGCACATGAAATAGTACAGCTCAGGATTGATAAATTGATGGCATGGTTCAAAGACAGTGTTATAGACGTCGGAACAATAGTCTGGACAGGATGTAGTAGCCTTAGCGGTAGTAAGTGACTCTGATGTTGTTTCTGATATGGCCTGTAAGGAAATAGTTGACTCTGCCATTGTTGCTGACGAAGCCTGTGTGATATTAGTTGACCTTGGTGTGGTTTCAGATGGTGCCTGTCTGCTGGTGGTTGACCAGATAGTAGTTACCGATGGTACCCGAGAAGTAGTTGACCACAGAGTGGTTGATAACGGTGCACTAGTGCCAGTGGTTGACATTAGAATAGTTTCTGATGATGTATGTGAATTAGTTGATTCTAGAGTGATTGCTGATAATGACTGAGTGGTTGACGCCGGTGTGGTTATTAATGACACCCGACCACTAGTTGGTGACTCTGATGAGGTTGATGATGCAGGCTGTGTGTTAGTGCTAGACCAAGAAGTGGTCGACACGGGTGTCTGGGTGTTAATGGTTGACTTTGGGGTTGTTGCTGATGATGCATGAGATGATATAGTTGATTCTACAATGGTTGCGGATGAGGACTGAGTGGTACCAGTTGATTCCAGATTTGTGGTGGACACCGATAGCCCTTGAGCGGTGGTAGTTAACGCCGACATGGTTGTCACAATATCTGCAGGTGGTGACTCTGAAGTGATTGTTGATGGTGGTTGTGTGATAGTGCTTATAGTGTCGGTGGTTGATCTTGGGGTAGTTTCCAATGATGCCTTATAGGAAGTTGTTGACTGGTCAGTGGTTCCTGGTGGTGCCTGAGTGAAAGTAGTTGACCACGAATTGGGTCTTGTGTATGCCTGGGATGAAGTAGTTGAATCTAAAGTTGTTTCTGATGATGCCTGAATGTTAGTAGTTGACCATGAAGTTGGTGATGGCGTGTTAGAGTTAGGAGTTGACCTTAGAGCTGATGATGACTGACTGGTAGTAGGAGTTGACCCAAGAGTAGTTGCTGACGAATCTTGATTAGTTGTCAATAAAGCCTGAACAGTAGTAGTTGACGCAAAGGTGGTTCCTAAAGACAACTGATCGGAGTTTGGTGATTGTGAAGTGGTTGTTGATAGTGGCTGAATGGTAGTACTTGGCCACGACGTTGTCGAGGATGGTGACCGATTATTGTTGGTTGAGATCGGAGTGGTTGCTGATGATACCTCTTGAGAGGCAGTACTTGGCCCTGCATTTGTTGCTGATGTTGCCTGAGACTCTAGAGTGGTTGCTGATGGGTTAGTGTTTGAAATCGGATTGGCTGCTGATAATGCATGAGAGAAGGCAGTTGATTCTACAGTGGTGGTTGCTGATGACGACGGTGTGGTAGTTGCAGTTGACCTCGGATTCGTCACTAAAGATGCCTGAGAGGAAGTAGTTGATTCAACGGTTGTTTCTGATGTTACCTGTGAGGAAGAAATTGATTCTAGATTTGTTGCTGGTGTCTTAGTGTTAGAGGTTGAAAACGGAGTAGCTGCTGATGATGCCTGAGAGGACTCGGTAATTGATTCTACCGTGGTTGCTGATGATGACGAAGTGGTAGTAGTAGTTGACCTCGGAGTCGTTGCTGATGATTGTTGAGTGGTAACCAATGGTGCCCGAGAGGTATTAGTTGACACTAAGGTGGTAGCTAATAATAACTGATCAAAAGCTGATGATTCTGAAGCAGTTGTTGATAGTGGCTGAGTGGTAGTACTTAACCATGTGGTCGATGATTGTGGCTGGATGTTGGTAGTCGACCTCAGGGTTGTTGCTAATGATGCCTGAGAGGAAGTAGTTGACCCGGCACTATTTGCTAATAATGGCTGAGTGGTATTAGTGAAATATGGAGCTGATTCCTGAGTTGCTGACGATTCCCGAGTGGTTGCAGTGAGTAATTCTGAACTGGTTGTTGATAGAGGCTGAGTACTAGCTGACTTCGAAGCGTTTGGTAATGATGCCTGCGTAGTAGCAGTTGACTCCGGATTGGTTGACAACAATACCTGAACGGTAGTAGTAGATGCCAACATAGTAATAGAAGGTGTCTCAGTGGTAGTAGGCCGAGTTGACCCCAAAAAGGATACTGCCTGAGGGCTTGTAGTTGACATCGACCCGCCTGTTTGTTGAGTGGTTGACTCTGGAGTGGCTCCTGATGGCCTCTGAGTGGTAGTTGTTGTTGCTGGTTGTGTATGAATGGTAGTAGTTAGCATCTTCTGAGTGGTAGCATTCTGTGTGGTTGCTAATGATGTTCCACTTGTAGTATATGGTGTCTGCTTGGATATTATTGGAGTCTGAGTAAAGCTATTTTGTGTCTGTGCAGTAGCTAATGGTGCTCGAGTGGTGGTACTTGGTGCCAGATTGGTAGTAGTTGGTGCCAGATTGGTAGTAGTTGGTGCATGTGTAAAAGTTGTTTGCATCTCAGATTGTGTAGTAGTTGGCATCTTGACATCTAGTGCCTGGACTGTAGAAGACACTTGTGTGGTAGGTAGCCGAGTAGTCATTAACGTCGTTACTGCTGACAAAAGTAATTCAGAATTGGTCGTTTTGTCTTTACCTTCTACTTCTGGAAGTTCAGTACAACAAAACAAAAAGACATTAAGATTATAAAACAATCAAAAATATTATTAAAAATATCTATTTGAATACACTTATCTTAACTTATAATATAATAATTAATTATAAGGCGTTTTACTTTCTTTCCTTATTATTTGGAATGTTTTATTATTGAATGAAAGAGCTTAATTGTTAACTTACCACACTTGCTTGACTCTCTCCAGTCAAGAACAACGCCAAATACAGAACAAATCTGTGCATATCGTTCAAGAACCATGCATTCATTACACAAGAAGGCTGGTTGCTTACAAATCTCATAGAACAGGATCGGTGACTGTGTGGTATGACATGGACGGAAGACCTCACCGTACATTTTGTTACATGTGCTTTTACATTTATCACTTGCTGACGATTTGCCATCTGAGACTTGCGGTTTGGTGGGCAAAGATACTGTAAAAATAGTAGCTAAACTTAAAAGTGGAAATTGCATGCAACAATAATACAACGACATCAACGGAAAAAAAAAACTTCATAGTGCTTTCTAATTCTTTTTCTCTTAACATTATTACTACGCATTCGACTTCCAACTTTCTTTTTTCTTGTCTATGCTTCAGGTTTCACCGCAGACCCAATACATTCACAAATGAAAATAATAAAATAAATAAATACATAAATGAAAGGTTACCGTACTGTACGGCTTGAGAATTATTTTATAAACAGTGAGGAATTAGAAGCCCTTATCTGAAGTGCACCTGCAGCCAGGGGAGCAGCTACAATTCAAAGATCTATGTTTCAAATTATCTTACCCGTCTTCTCTGTTACTCTTTGGAATGATGACTGAGTGGGCAAAGCATCGCACATATCCACACATTCTCCATTCTGCATAACTTTGCCCTCTGGGCAAGCACAACCCTCAACGCATGTGTCCGGACATTGATCACTACCATCGTCTTGAGATATCAGTCGAAATTTATTTTCACATGCGCTGCAGACACCAATACATGGCTTATACTCCTGACAACCTTGACACTGGATTGCTTAAAGAGAAAATTGTTATGAACTGAAATTAATAAAACGCCATAGATGGATATACAAATATACTTAAATATAGCATTGCCTCCGATATACAAATGGGTATGATTAAGTTTAAACAGACCTATGTAAATTTAGGGGATCCCTTAAAATCATGTTTGCACTTATAATCATGCAAGCACCTTAATGACTAATTTTGTATTCTAGTACTTTAGTCTACTAGTCTGTATGATATTCTATCTCTAAGACTTACGACAAAGATTCTGGTTCCTCCAGCTGATGTACACTTTCATGGCGCTACATTGATGGGCGTAGGCAGAAATGGCAGTACAAAGTTTCTCACAGCCTGTACCCCCATTACAGTTGCAGGCGTCATTCACACATTGCTGTATGTATAAATCAGGTGAAACGACACTGTGGCATGGTCTGAATACGTCTGACTTCAGAATTGCACATTTTCTCCTGGCCCATAATTCACGAGCAGGATACAAGCTGCATGCACTTTGGATCACTTCAGACTCAACACAATAATTATGAAGCTAAGATAAAAAGATATTACATATTATGTAATTATTTAACAATATCGTAATCTGCAGAAACAGTGCTCTGGTTTAATAATATTCATAATATTTTCACATGGACACATATTTAAAATCTTGTAAATTAAATATTACTGGAATAAAAGGATCTCATTATTTAACCCCAAACATAAAGGATGGAAGACAGTTGGTACACATAAAGTGAGTACATGACAAAAGTAACAGAACTCACCCTCCAACTGTGACCAAATTCTGTTGCTGAGATTGCAGGCATTCCTGACCTCTTGGTGAAGTCATCATTTTGATTGCCATTGTAGTTACCACATAGACCTGACACCTTCAGAAAATAATAAAACATTTAATAATTTATACCGATAAAACATAACCGTATCAGCCCTTATTCTGCCGATTTTGTTTACGGAGCTACACAGAAACTTAATTTTTTATCATTGAGGGAAGAATAACAAAAGTACAATTATATAATGCAAACAAATATTATGAAGAATCATACTATAAATATAAATTGCTAAAAAATGTTGGTCATAATAATGAACAAAACGTTACCTGTCCTTTATAGTAAGGGTCTAATTTAACTTGTACCCAAGTTCCCTTGTCCCAAGTAAGTGTAACACCAATATTTGTGTGAACAAAGACATACAAGCCAACTTCACTAACACGAATACGATCAGGATTTCGGGAGGTGACATGCATGGGTTTTCCCCGTACAAGGTGCACTTTGTCCTTGTCTCGTCCAGAACCTGTACAACACATCAAAAATGTATTAAAGAATAACATTAAAGACATGAATTCACATCAGGGGCAGATCCGGAATTTTTCAAAGGGGCGGGAGGAAGGGAACAACATATTCAGAATAGATAAATGAGTAGCGCTAATTTCAATATGTTCACTAAAAATTTAAAATTTAGTGACAAATGGGGTGGGGGGAACGTTCCCCCGTGTACCTACTGGATCCGTGCCTCCACACATAATGGCCTATATGTCCTTCACATCGTTATAATTATCATCATGTTCACCATTTAATATCATAATACCATCATCATCATCATGATTATCATTAGGCCTACCATTATCATTATCATATCATTTTGAAGGAATGAGAAGGGATACTAGGTCTATGTAATACATTAGCCATTAACATAGTACTGTATGCCTACCAATGGTAAATTTGACAGATTTTGTGCAGGTGACGCCAGCAACACCGCAAGGTACATTCTTGATTACTATACGGAAAGGTTCAAATCCATCATCTTGTTTGTTGTAATGGTTGCTTGCAAGTTCGTAGTCACAGTCCCCATGCAGGTCAAACCTCTTGCCGTCAAACGATGTAAAGTGAGGATCACCCCAAGCTGTACAGATTCCTGATAGATTGCAAATGGTTAAAACAATTAAACATATTGAGAGACGATGGAGCGATGATTGATTGATATCAAAATAGAATTGCATATAACATAGTAATTATAATACTTTTACAGACAACTATGCATGTGAAATTATTTCCAAAACTGTGTACTCACCTGGACATTCTTTCTCTTCACATTCCCATGATGTTCCTATACAGGTGCTGAAAATAATTCAAAAAATGTTTTGGATTATTTTGAATTAAAATAAGCAGTGCACGGTATGGAACACTTCTCCATTTTCTAATACTCGATTTGTAATTTTGCCAGTACATTTTTTGGACAAATAAAGTTTCTGTATTCTGTTATGTTTTTATAAATACAAATTGTACAAATTACTAGTTTGGATATAGATGCAATTTCAACAACCAACTTAGTACCAAATGCAGGGGTCACCTCACCTGTCCACAAGTTGGTACTAGGCCTACTTAATGCAGGGGTCATCTCACCTGTCAAGCTGGTACTAGGCCTAATTAATGCAGGGGTCATCTCACCTGTCAAGCTGGTACTAGGCCTAATTAATGCAGGGGTCATCTCACCTGTCAAGCTGGTACTAGACCTACTTAATGCAGGGGTCATCTCAATTGTCAAGTTGGTACTAGACCTACTTAATGCAGGGGTCATCTCACCCGTCAAGTTGGTACTAGGCCTACTTAATAGCCTTTCTGAAGCGTGTTTCTTGCATCTTTAGCTCATATTACTTAATTTGAAAGTTAGTCTATTTTTCTTGCAATTTGCTAGTTTGTTTGATCGTATTGTTAAAACGTGCAGTTCGAATTTGTTCAGGGGCTCCCTTCAGATCTCATTCCAAACAATTATTTTTTAACTGGAAAATATTAAACGTCTTTGACATTAATAAACTACAATCTGCCTTATTTATGTACCGTTTAACCAACAATCTACTTCCGGCACACATTAGTTCATTACTTAACAAACCCTCTGATACTCATTCACACTTCACTCGTTTTTCTGTTACCAATTTTTATGCTAAAAAATGTGAGTTTCATACCAGACGCCATTCAATCCTTTACACCGGTCCTAAGCTTTGGGGGAGTCTTTCACACTCTTTAAAAAACAAACCATCTCTCTCAAGTTTCAGGATTACCTATAAAAAGTCTTTGGTGCAGATATACGGTGAGTAAGTTTCTCTTTGATCATTACTTATCTATTTATTATAATCATCTCATTATTATTATTATTATTATTATTATTATTATTATTATTATTATTATTATTATTATTATTATTATCATCATTATCATTATTAAGTTTGATTTCACACTTTATGCTGTGTTCTAAAGTTTTATGTACCATCTTCTGGTTTTGTTTTTTTTACAGGAGGTCAAGTCTTAAAGTTTTTGACTTATTTTGACCTCCTTCCACACTTCCTATAAATATATTTTCACTTGTACTTACACCGATTTTGTAACCTTGTACTATTATCATATTGTTATCACCTTAATATTGTTATGTTAATTTGAAGTGTTGGAGAAAACCATTAAACAAACAAACAAACAAACAAACAATTGTTCTTACCATTTGTTACAACCGATCATGATGTCCTCCCCTTTCTTGTACACATTTCCGCCATGCTGGCACGGACAGTTATCGGGTGCTACACATTCCATCACGTTTTCATCGAATACAAATCCATCCAGGCAAACACAGCCTGGGACGCACTGGCCTGGCAACTGCTCCTTATGACTTTCCATGTTTGCACATGTCTTGGATTGGCTGGGCTTACAGGTGGAGAATGCCATGTGGTTACCACATTCATCGGAACAGACCTCTTTCTCACAGGTGAAACTCCCATTTGTACATTCACTAAAATGCAAAAAAAAAAAAATAAATCTCATTATATTGGTTAAATAAGTTTAAATACTCTGTTTTACAATATCTCAAGTGGTGAGATTTTTCATTTCTTATATTGTTGGATAGCAGACTAAAGTACGCAGTTACACCCCATAATGTTTTGCAAAATTTGTAAGTAATATTTTGATAAACATTATATATTTCTTTATTATTATGTATCGTTTAACACATCAATACAATAGTTGAACATGTTCCTTTGCTACCAGGTAATGTTTGTTTTGTCCAGTTGGGAAAGTAACATATTTGTACAAGTAGGCCTAGGCCTAAATAACAAAATATAATCACCATGGTCCACATGGACTCTGATACAAGAAGCCTGGTGATACTAGACCGTTGTCTGATGGACAAGGACATTCCGATGGAGTCACACAAGAACCGTCTTGGTCAAGCACCTTGCCCTCCGGACAAGCACAGCCAGGTACACAACCTGGATGACAAGGGAAACCACTGGACAATGAAGCACACGATGACCCACAGGTTGAAGCACATTCGTGGTAAACAAGATCACCTTCACAGGCAACAGCTGTAGGGAAAATAAAAATAAAGATCATAGGAAAATGAAAATCAAAAATCTAAATAACCCCCAAGATGCTAGTGAAACACACGTAATCATTACTACAATTTATTCCATTAAATACAAATTGACAAAACACGGACAGCTTACCACAAGCTGGAATACTATCCCTCCATTTTAGAACGACGCCTTTAGCACTACAATCAACAGCGTATTGTTCGATGATGGTACAGCTGCATTCTGATGTCTTACAGCCACAAACTTGGGACATACAAGCATGGTAGTACGCCTCTGAGTCCAGTACACTCAAACATTCTGTATACAATCGGCGAAAGCAAAATGTTCTTTTATTGCTAGATTTTAAGTTTCCTCAAATGTGTTTACATAAAAAACGTGCTCCAGTCGGACGCAGTAGTTTGAGTAGATAACATACTCGTCTCTTATACACATCTAGATGTGTATAAGAGACAGGAATTGGCCCACCCACTTTTTCCTCTGAGGGGCCTCGCCCTCCATATTCTTTCTTATTATGATTATGATTATTATTATGATTATGATTATGATTATGATTATGATTATGATTATGATTATGATTATGATTATGATTATGATTATGATTATGATTATGATTATTATTATTATTATTATTATTATTATTATTATTATTATTGTTATTGTTATTATTATTATTATTATTATTATTATTATTATTATTATTATTATTATTTGGTGCTATATGACCTTGTTTATTTGCGCCTTATAAATTGACCTGTTATTATTATAGAATATAGGTCTAGATTCCTTTTTTGCCATTTTAATTACAAGTTTCATTTTTGAGTTGACCAACCAAATGTTGATTGACGTCTGTAAAATTTCCTTGAAACCCACTTTGAGCATGAGAAAAAAGAATGGACTCGACCGCCTTCTCGAATTCTGTATATAGGCATATGGGGGAGGCCCTCTTTCTCCCTCTTTATGAAGCGACGCTTTTTATGCTACCCATGGAGATGTACAGTAAGTGTAACTGATTGGCTTACCTAACCATATTTAAACTCCATTTAATTTAACGAAAACAATAAGTAAAGGCTTAATTACGTCATTTTTAAAAATAAAGTTCTCTGAAGGTTAATTTCAGAATTTACAGTACACAGTATTTATTGTGTTATAGGTTGTAAAAACTGTATTGAAATTTTAAAAAAAATCTTCCGAATAAAAAAAAGTTTTTCTGACCTCAGCCTCAACCGTCGTGGGGCTGAGATGGGTGGACATTCTATTTGCACAAGACCCTCCCTGGGTCCCCTCTATACGACTTCCTGGACCCGCCACAGTTGGAGTAGGTCTATCATTTCCGGGCTACTATAGAAGGGTAATTTTTATCCATCGGAGGAAAAGTGAATGTTTCGTCGTGGAATAGACCTACCTATATCAAGGATACCCCTCATGATTAATAATTCATTTGAGATCGTGGAAGCAATCTCGACTTATGACTTTGTTCAGAAATCAGTGGCGGATTCAAGGGGGTGGGGCCTAAATTTTAAATCTGGGAGTGCAATTTCCGACCATCTAGAGGTGCCATAATCACAAATTTTCTTAGCTCAGCCTCACGCATGTTGGGGCTGAGGTAGTACATCCTCGGTCTGGGAAAGTACCCCCTCCACTGTTCCCCCTATAGGCCTATTTCGAATTTCAGGATCCGCCACTGGAAATTACAACAATTATGAAGTCATATTACAGTAGCTTGATGCCTTTAAAATTAAATAACTGATAAAATTCACCAAACTTCGTCAAAAATCCGTATCTTCCAGGGGGACTTCGCCCCTACCGGGGGCCCTTGGTGACCCCTGGCCCCAGCCTAGATGCTCACTTCGCTCGCTACTTTACCTTATGAAATGCCCCCCCCCCACACACTTTCAAAAACGTTCCGCCGCCGTTGAGAATACTAAGTGTGTAATAATATATATATGCAATATATAACTTGAGGAACGAAATATTTTGCTCGCACAAACCTGAAAAGGGTCCATTCACCATCTTGAAAACGGTACATTTTTCCACTGCTAATGAAAAATGCTGTTGATGTAACATGCAAAAGTTGAAATGATAAGCCGGAGTATCGCAGAAGGCAGAGGTCTGCCATTTACTTCCGAAAGACTGGGCCGTCGTCTCGATGTCACCTGATTTAAAAAGATAAAAAACATTTTAATCTTTATCTGCTAGAACATTTATAGAATACTACCCCAAAATTCATCAAATCAATTTAACTACTACTGTCAAGTCGTAGAAACTGTCTAACCTGATTTTGTGTAAAAGTCATCTTCTTGATTCCCGTTGAATGTACCACAGAGACCACAGAGATTATGTTTAAGGCTTGGAGGTGCAGTTATGGTGACACGGTAATCCTCAGTTACCTCCACTTGTACACCATTTGACAACGTCACCTACAAAATCAATATTGGGAATTAAGATTATTCCGGTTGAATTTATAAGGATTATTTTATTAGATTATTGGACCTATGGACCTGAGGACCAACGATCACCACTTCAAACAGAAAGCAATGTTAACCAAAACAGTAAATCAGACATCAGAAGACCTATACATTATATAAAAAAGAATGTAATGTACGTCACCTTTGCCACTGAAGTTGTTGGTCTATCTATCAAAACCCCATTGTACTCTGCTGGCAGTTTCTTGACATCCTCATCATTGACCAAAATCTCTGTGCTGCGCACTCGAACACGTGTAGTACCGATCATGATGATAACAGCACGGGAACAACTCGTGCCAAACTGGCTACATCCATAGTTCTGTACATTCACAGAAAAGTCATTGTCCAGGCTAGGGCAGTCAGTAACGAGAACGTACTCGCAGTCACCAGTAAAATCAAAATGTTTTCCATCGAACGATTTGAAGTGGTCAGCACCAGCCAGCCAACATCGACCTGAAATAGGGTAATTTAGATGCTTGGCTCAATAAGAAAGCAAACCAAGTGACTGAAATTAGCAATAAAGAAATATTGTCATAATATAATCATATTTGTTATTTATGTTTAAAGTACTTACCTGGAGAGTCATATTCAGAACAATCCCACTTTCCATCTATGCAAACACTAATAAATAATAAACAAAAATTAAATTAAATAGAAATCCAGTTAGATAATGAAAGTACCGGTATATTTTAATAGTTAATATAATTATAAATATACTAGAAATGAAATAATTTCTGGTAATTAAGGTATAAATCAATGAAAGTACCGGTATATTTTAATAATTAATATAATTATAAATATACTAGAAATGAAATAATTTCTGGTAATTAAAGTATAAATCATACCATTCGCTAATATCGTCCCTCATCACACGACCTGGTTGTATTTGATGTCCGTTAAATTCACACGGACATTCACTCGGGGCAATACACTTGTTGTCTACCAACATTTGACCAGCTGGACAATGACAGCCCTCGATACAGTAGTCGTTTTCACAATCTACGACTTGGTTCCCACAAGTTTGAGGGCAAGTACTTCCACATATCTGGTACTCCATTCCGTCTGGGCATTGTAGAGCTGTTTAAAAAGCAATTAAAATTTACATTCCTACATTTGATAATCTTCAATGCGAACATTTTGCAATTGAAAACATGTGATTGACTGCGATAAGGTAAAAAAGTGATTGAACTATGAACGATTTTTAACTCATAATTTTAAAAAATGTCTTGAAAATACACAAAAAGTACACAATGTGCTGCATAAAAGTACTTACGGCATTTGTCAGGAGTTCTCCACTCAACCACTTCCTCTTCCCATGCACAGGCGCTGGAGTAGGCGGAGAAAGCATTACAGCTACACTCTGTCATTACGACGTCCTTATTAGCATCACTCCCACTTGCAAGCAGACAGTCACAAATGTACTCCTTACATGCGTCAATAAAGGGGGTTACATCCACCTTCTTCAGAAAGAAAATTTAGAATATTCAGGTTAACTTTAGGCATAAGTGAAAAAATTAAACACCTCTTTTGAGACATTATAAAAGTTTATAAAAATCATTTTAATTTTGACTTGGGTTATTAGTAAAGACTAGCATCCAAGTTGTAGTTGACTGATCTTAAATTTGACATTTAGGCCTACCTCGTTGCAGCTTTGAAAGACTCCTCCTCGTAACTTTCCACACACAGACATATATTCAGTTTTTGCAGTTGCACTGATACTGTCAGTACATCGTCTACTCTCATCATAGCAAGGTCCTTAAAAAACAACATATAAAATATTTTTTCAGGGTGATGTCATTAACAATACAATTATCAAATGTTGCACAAGACTCTCACTGTTCTTTATAAGAGTACAGTACCTATTAAAAACTTTAGTTGATGATTCTATCAAACATAGTAGTGATATAAGGGACCACAGGGGGTTGGTATAGGGGTACACGTAACCAAATTCATAAATGTTAATGCTAATATCTTACCTTTCTGATCAACAGTTTCCCAGCTCCTACCGAAACGTTCTGCTGTAACTTGTTTTGCTCCCTCTGGTGACAAGAAGTCATCATCTTGATCTTCATTGTTATTGCCACAAAGGCCACATAGACCACCATACAGTTCTTCGGATGTTATGTCAACTGTATAACGTGACATACCGTCCCAGATAACATTAAATCCAATTGGACTTGACACGACAACCCAACCAGAAACAAACAACACTTCAACGCCATTCACAGTACCGGATTCAGTGAGGAACTCGTCGACGTTGTAATCCACTACAACAGCTTGTTCTCCTTCTTTGCGCAACTGTAGCGTCATCATGCCGTTGTCAGTGTCTAACTCAATGGTCAGTCGTTGTTTGCAAGTATTTTCCGCGCATTGCTCTGTTGATAGGTAGATGGAAAACAAGCCCAAGTCTTGGCAGTCTTTAGCGAGTATGAGGGAGCAGGTACTGTCGAATATGAAATGTTTTCCGTCGAAAGTTCTGTAGTACTTCTGAGACCAAACGGTGCAGTAACCTACAGTTGGTACAGCTAGATAATAATAATAATAATAATAAAACACAATAAGGATCGTGAAACAGCTTTACTGGTACCTATGTAACTTCATCACTGAATGTCCAAAAGGAATATTTTATAAAATATATTAAAATATAAGTAGGCATGAAAGTCTTAACTCACGTGTAGGAACAAGAAATACTGGAGTCGTAGGAATCAGCGGTTTATTAACGGCCGTGGTCAGCTTTTCATTAGCTTCCGTAATTTTAGCTACCTCCTTAGTGTTTTCTGGTTTTTCTGTCAAAGATATAATTATGTATGTATTCTCTGAATGTGTGTATGTATGTATATATA